CGGGACTCGATCCCAGGACCCTGGGATCATGACCCGAGCCGAAGGCAGTCGCTTCACCAACTGAGCCACCCAGGCACCCAAATTCACTTTCTTCTAACCACCCCTAGTCTCTGCATTGCTCAGGCCCATATCATGCCTTGCCCAGCTGACTGAACTGTCCTCCTAGAAGGTCTTCCTGCTTCCACTCTTACCCCCTGCAACCTGTCCTCTAATCTTCTGTCACCAAGTCAACAAAATGGAATGCTTTCGTGTTGATCCCTGCTGAAAATATTTCCATGGCTCTCATTGCCTAGTGGATAAAATCGAAGGTGCTTAGCCCCACAGTTAGGCTCTCTATGATTTGGCTCATGCCTTATGTTGATTATGACATACTATGCAAATATATAGTGGTTCACAACCACTTTGTGAACAAGGACCACTTACCAAGCATTGTGCTTTATATTTATTTAGTTCTCATAATGCTTTCCCACACATTTGATAGTACTATTCTCATTTTGCAGATGGGTCAACTGACTCTCAGAAAGGTTAGGTCACTTGCCCAAGAACACATAGCTTGTTTAAGCAGGGGAAGGTCTGGATGTGAAAGCTCTTTCAAAGTTCTTTCCACTGCAGTGCCTTGACATGAAAGAATGAACGCTCCTCTCCTTCCCGTTCCTCACTATTCCTCATCTACCTTAAATGGACAGCCTTGTTGAAGAAAAACAGTCTTGCTCCTGGGGCCAAAGGAATCTATCCCCCACTGCGGTGGGAAGAAAACAGGTTCTTCACACCAGCTTCTGCAAGGGAAGAGAGAATCGCCCAAAGCTAGAGCTGTATGGTGAGCTGGTGGGCCTAACCCTCCCATTCAAGGCCCTGCCTTCTCCTCGCTAGGTGGGGGTCAGGCGCGAAGTGCAAGGATGGGGATCCGGGTCAGAGAGCCCTTCTCCTTTGACTTAGCCGGCCTGGCTGGCGCCACCACAGCGTTGGAGTAGGATCCCGTCTCCAAGGCCACCCCCTCGAGGGTCCGGAGCTGGAAGACCAGGGGGGAAGGACTCTGGTGACTCCCCAAAGTCTCAAGCAAGACCTGACACCTACTCCTCACCACTATCTCAGCCTGGGAGCCGGTCCTGTGGGCTCTGGCAGCGCAGCCTACTCTGCCGCCGGAGCGGTTTTGCACACACCGCTGCCGCCCAGCGCCAGGACCCAGAGCAGTCCGCCAGCAGCGGGACCCTGGAGCAGTGCAGCCCTCTGAGCCCCGAGAGTCTCGCGGTTGAGAAACCCGCGGTCAGAGAACCCCCTGGGAGCTCTGCTATCAGTCGGGTCGGATCACCCAGATTTGTAACTGGAGAAAGGTCCAGGTCCCCGAGGGCCATGTCCAGCTAGCACCCTCTGGCCCTCGGACCTGAACTCGGAGTCCAGGCTGTCCGGTTGGGCAAATCGTCCCGAGTTCCGCTCTCCCGCCAGCCGCAGACTCGCACCCCCAGACCCTCCCCAGGCACGGAGGCAGTTGCTGCCGTACTGCTCAGCCCTCCTAGGCAGCGGCGGAACGATCCCCAGCTGCTCCCAGCACCCCGACTTGACCCTGGGCAACCTCTTCTGCCCGGGTGGCTCTCCCCGGGGTCTGAACCCCTCGCGCCCCCGCGCGTCCGTCTTTGCTTCTGAGCTTGCTCTGAAAGTGATGTAACGAGGCCAGACTCGCGCGCTGCTTTCCCTCTTTCCCAGACTAAGTCCTTCCTCCCTCCAGCACCAGAGCCCGGCGCTGGGCTGTGCCTCCACTCCACTCCCAGAGCTCTGGAGACCGACGGGCGCTGTTGAGAAAGACGCGCTCCCACGTCCCACCTCCTGGATGCAGAGTCAGTGGGGAAAGCGAGGCTTTCCTTCCAGAAACAAGGGAGAGAGCCGAGGGGACAGCTGTTGTGGAGGTTTCTAAGGAGACTCAGACTGGCTTCTTTCCCTGCTCCTGGGAGACGGCAGGAAACCTCAGGTACCTCAGTGACCCCAGTCGGTGGATGTTTATATGAAAGAGACAGAGGCAGTAAGAGAGAGAGAGAGAGAAACAGAGGAAGAAACAGAGACCCAGAGACCGTGATTGACAGACAAGTGGAGAGAGACGAGTAAGAGAGCTAGAGAGTTGGTGGGTGGGAAACTGACTTCAGTTTTCTTTTTTCTTTTTTTTTTTTTTTTTAACCCACTGTGGTTTTGCTTCTGACAGAAGAGAGAACTGCTGCTCCCTAGCCAGCAAGCAGCCCCTAATCTGGATGGAGTGAAAGATGCGGCCTGATGACATAAACCCGAGGACTGGGCTGGTGGTGGCCCTGGTCAGTGTCTTTCTGGTCTTTGGCTTCATGTTCACCGTCTCTGGGATGAAAGGAGAGACGCTGGGAAACATCCCCCTCCTGGCCATCGGGCCAGCCATCTGCTTACCAGGCATCGCAGCCATTGCCCTGGCCAGGAAAACCGAGGGATGCACCAAGTGGCCTGAAAATGAGCTGCTGTGGGTCCGCAAGTTGCCCTGCTTCCGGAAACCCAAGGACAAGGATGTGGTGGAACTGCTGAGGACCCCTTCAGATCTGGAGTCAGGCAAGGGAAGCTCAGATGAGCTGGCTAAGAAGGCAGGCCTCAGGGGGAAGCCCCCCTGCCAGGGGCAGACAGAGGTGCCTGTGGCCAGTTACATCACCACCCCCACACCCACGGAAGGAGAACGCCAGAGCCTGGTCCAGAGCGGGCATCAGGAGGAGACATCCAGATACCTGGATGGTTACTGTCCCTCAGGCAGTTCCCTTGCCTACAGTGGCTTGGATGCCAAGTGCTCAGCCTGGGACAGATCTGATTGCCCGGAGCCTGAGGACAGCATCTTCTTTGTGCCCCAGGACAGTATCATCGTTTGCTCCTACAAGCAGAACAGTCCCTATGACAGATACTGTTGTTACATCAATCAGAGCCAAGGCAGGTGGGATCACGAGACAATAGTCTAAGCTTTGCATACAAGAGTCGCTGTGTTGATAGAAACGTGACTACATTCAGCTTCTAGGGGAAGGAAACTGCCCTGCTCCAACAGCCTTCAAACTGTTAGAAATTGACTTGGTATGTGATGGGTGTGCAAGCTTCGGGTGCCTGAAAGCCATGTAAATAGGCATGTTGGGGACACATTTTAGGGAAGGGTGATGAGGGTTAAGGACACTGGAAGAGGCAGTGGGTAGGAGAAGAAGCAGTTCCAATTTCTTTTTAAACCATGTTGGATGTTTTGTAAAATAACCCAGAAAGTGCTACTCAGCATCTGCTAAAATCAAGATAAACCTAGAGTGGGCTGCAGATATCAGGCATGAAATGATACATGGGCTTGCCATAGGGAAACTGACCTGCTTTCAGTCTGAATAAATTGAAAGACAAAACAATTTAGTGCTTCATTGTATGAAATGATTTTTATCTGGTGAAAGCTTTTCACACTTATTATTTGCTGAAAGAAAAAAAAGTCAAGATAGAAAAGCTACTCCCTCCATAGGTAGGATGGTTTTTGGAGAAAGGGGAGTTAAAGGCAGTTGAATTATGTAACTGAGTTTTATATTATCCTCTGACAAGATCAGAGATTTCAAATAAAGTAAAGTGTGACCAGCTAGGTAAAAAACTAACATTTTTAGATGGCTATGTTCCTTCTTAAACTCTTCGTTTAAATTGATTTACTGGGTCTTTATCTTAAGTGTTTTTTAATATTTACTATCATTCATGTATAATTTCCTCATCAGGTACAAAATGACTTGATGTAATATTTTCATAGATTAGAATTTGTGTTCATCAAGTCAAAATTGGTTTTATATATGTATACAAGTATCTTTAACATTTCTGGGAGTTCTGGTAATAACTATTCCTATATGCCTTTTAAAATCTGAAAACTATGAAGTCAATACATTAGTCTTGAACTTTATGCAGAATTTACATAAAATGTAATGGTTAAACTTCTGGAAGTGTCATTATTTGTACATTTATTCAACATTCCCAAAGACTATAAATGCCAATGAAACGAGTTAATCTACTAGATTTAACTAAAGCTCAGTTTTTATTAAGTTCACCTAATCAGTGAGCATTGCATGACAGGGTCTGTTTTATTTCATACTTAATCTTTTGCTGCTGAGGGAAAAAGGCACAATGGGATCCTAAAATGTATTTCCTATTTCACTTGCTTAATTGTAATAGACAAGAGGGCAATCAGCCAAAATACCATTTAGTCCCTGTTGAAGAGAAATATTGAATTATATAGAGAAATCATGGTATATTTCATCTTGCAGATCAAAATATTTTGCATCCTTTAAAGAATGATGATTTATTTTCAATGATCAGATAGTTTCAGCCACTTTCTCCCAAAGGGAATTGAGGACAAAAATTCTAGCCATACCCCTTTTGTATATTTCAGGTCCAGTTCTGCAAGTCTTTAAGTGCAGCAATCATTCAGTCTTAAGAACCATGCCCTTAAAAATCACAATTTCCAAACCAAGTTCAACATCAAAAGAGTATGATTTTTTTTTAGTAGGGCTTAAATGTCAGAAAATGAGATGTGTGATCTTAAGCAAATTTTATCTTCTTGTACCTCAGTTCTCACTCTTCAGAAATCAGGGAGGAGTGGGACCGACTTACACTAGAGTATGTCTATCGTTCATTCCCAGTTCGAATATTCTATGGCATCATGTCAATGACACTTTATATAATGCCAGGGAATGAGATACAGCAAAATGCATGCCAAAGTTAATGCAACTCATGATAAAAATTATATGACATGGATTGAATTCTTACTACTACTCAAAAGAATTTTGTAGATATGTGAAAGCAGATTTGTTTTATTGCCAAATATTATTTATTCAACAAATACATTTCTGGGAATAAAATGAAGATGTTAATTAAGGATAAAATTTTTTTGATATCGGTATAGCCCCCAAATAATCCAATAAATGCAATAAATGTAATTCACTTTGGATTTGGCATGGAGGGAAAATAGTTTCCTAAAATCACAATACCTCTTAATAATTCTAGGGCATTTAAAAGATGAAAATCATGTTTCAATGAAGGTAAAAATTATTGGATAACTCCCTTAGGAATAAAAGCTTCTAATTTGAACAACAAAAAAAAAACCCTTCTAATCTGCTTGCCATTTGTGGACCTCTTCAGAGATGAAGAGATAGCAAGACAGCAGAGAGAGATATTCACAAAGACTCAGCAAATCCTATACAGGGTCTGAAAAGAGATGCTTGTAGTGTTAGGTATGGTTTAAGGTGTAGAAAAGTTACTTTTTGATTTCTTGGAATCAGCTCAAACCCCTTGATATTATATACACACATACACACACACACTCCAATGTCCAAATCCAAAGTTAATTACTAGCTTAGAAATCTAAGACATTTTATCACATTTTCAAGTTCTATTTCAGAAGAAACTTACTTCAATCTTCTTCCACCCACCTACTTAAGATACTTAAGGTATCTAAATATGCTCTTGAGGGAATTTTCTGCAGTGCTAAAATAATGGTTTGCAAATGTTGACTGGGTGGCTTAACTCTGACCAGAAAGAATAAAATACGTGATTGTGTGTGTGAATTTTTTTAACATCTTACATTAGGTAACGCCCTCCTAATATATAGCAAGGTAGCTTAGTGCCCCAAATCAACACTCATTAAGTAGTATTCAGGGGAAAGCAGCCATTCTGTTGAACAGAGGTGGAAGAGAAGGAAAACAAGATGAGAAAAGTGTCTGAGCTTGTTAGAGGAAAACAGCAGCTCATTCTAGTCAACAGTTTTAGCAAATGGTTAATATTAGCAAATGGTAATAGACAGGAAGACTATTCCCTGTATCCAGTAAGAGCTTTCAGACAGACATAAATCGAAGTAGGCACTAGTTATTTTTTTACTTGCTATTAATCCAAATAGTCATTTCAACTTGATTTTAAATAGGCATTTTATTTTTGAAATTATTTCTGTTGACTTTTTCTTGTTCAATATTCCTATCTATTATGCTCATGAGTTCTTTTTCCAAACTGCTTCTTGATTTTTTTTTTAAAGATTTTATTTATATATTTGAGAGAGAGAGAATGAGAGACAGAGAGCACAAGAGGGAAGAGGGTCAGAGGGAGAAGCAGACCCCC